ACCTAAAAGAAACAACCTCCTTCACCTATCTGGGAAGCATCGTTTCAACTATAGGCGGAACTGACGAGGATATCAAAGCCAGAATCGGAAAAGCAAGACAAGCTTTCATTCCTCTTAAGTCTGTGTGGAAGTCAACAGCACTCAGCATCAAAAATAAATCTGGATCTTCAACTCCAATGTGAAGTCAATCAGTGCTACTATACAGATCAGAGAGTTGGTGTGTCATAAAGAGCATCTCAAACAAACTTCAGACCTTCATCAACAGTTGTCTTCGCTCACTACTGAAGATCAGATGGCCAGAAAAGATCAGCAACAGAGGGAGATCTCTGGCAATGAGCGAACCAACCAGGAACCGATTGCGAAACAAATAGGCAGGAAGAAATGGAGATGAATTGGCCATACTCTGAGGAAACCATCAAGTGACATCGCTAGACAGGCCATCGTTTGAGTGGAACCCGAATGGGAAGCGGCGAGTTGGTCGTCAGTGCAAGCGTGACTTGGAGGAGGTGATGTGAAGAGGAGATGAAAGCATGTGGACAGACTTTGAGCGGGGTGAAAACGTAGGCAGAAGACCGAAGGCAATGTAGACGCGCAGCTGAAGCCCTATGTTCCTGTAGGAATTAAAAGAAATAATAATAATCAAAACTGTGAAAGTTAGAAAAGGTGTCGGTAATAAACAAAGAAAATTATGATGAAACAGAGAAAACTGCTTGCTAAATAGATTTACCTGTGTATATACATAATAATAATAATAATGTGGCTGCTAGTTTCGTCCGAATATTGAGTGACTCATCATACGAGTCCAGCACTAGTGTGAAAGGAACAAGAAATTCAACAAAGATAACTATCTTTTTCGGCAATTCCATCCTCAAAAGCAGCTGTACAATCGCATTTGTGCATATAAGTTCATTTAGTTACACGTATGCTTTAATTTCACATTAAAACGAAAGGGGATTAATGGTGATAGTAATATGCAACTTGATTTGCAAATTAAAAGTTGCGAACATCGACTACAAGCGGCTTAGAAATAAAATGACGCAGGATTAAAAAATGGTCGACTTTAACGACTTCATGTTCGAATGGGATGAGCATTGTAAAACAAAACTGAAACGATGGTTTTTTTCTATAAAACCGAAAATGAAAAAAATGAACGAGTCGGGCGGCACTAGATCCACTTTAAATGTACAGATTGGAGTAATTTCTTTTGATCATATGCCTATGGGTTTTTGATGTAGGTGGTTAGGGCTTCTGCAGTACAAAATATTCGGAAACACACTACCTTGGGTAGATTTTGTTTACTTTAGAAATGACGAAGTATGGTGAATCAGTTGAGATGATATGACAGGTGTTTGATGAAGTGGAGCATCTGATTGAAACAATGCTTCCTCTTTGCGGCCATGTCGGGTAATGTTCTCCAAGATATTTTGAAGGGAAACGCATAGAAGGATCTATGCACCTATCTGCACAGGTGTAAGTAAATTGGTACATCCACAACGGAATGGTCACATGCGTGAGTTTGTCCTTCACATTGATTAGAAACATTGGTTTGCTAGAGCATATTACCCTTGGTGTTGCTGTAGGAAACGTATTTCTTAAGGGAATAGAGATTCTCCTCTTTAGGACACCTGTGGCTAGGTGATTCTCCTCTGGAGTCTACATTCATATGTAGTATTTTCTTTGGCACTGATTTACATTCTTCTCGTTTTCGTCTTGGTTTCACGCTGTTCTCCGCATAATATATCTGATATCCATTTTGAGTCAGGATATTTTTGAGAAATAAAAGCCCCTCTTCTAAGCAATCAGTGCTTCAGATTCTTCTGATACAATGAGCCAATGAGATGATGACAATATATTTTTCAATGCACACTTATGCAACTATTGAAATTTTTCAGCTGATAGATCTTTTCAGAGCTCCATCACTTCTTTCTAACTACTCTTCGTCCAGAAATGGGACATTTGATTCACTTGGTAATTCCAGTGTGAAATTAACTGCAGGATGGCAATTCTTGTAATAAACAGTTTAAATTGGAGTCATCCACAGGCCTTTTTTACGGCAGTAATTTGTCGACTGTTGATTTTAAGATTCCTTTTTCCGGACTGGCCATAAAGCAGTCTGCTAAAAGTGGGCCAAGAGAAGATGCCATGGTAATTTGACCTTCTGTAATATATGATGAAGTAATTTTATTTGTTGGAACCTAGAGAGACTTAATCACGAGCTGACATCATCTAGGAAATCAATAGCAAGTAGTGAGCATTTAGCAGTTACTCCATCCTACTTTTATAGTTTGTAACAATGCGCATTAGCGGCTCCCCATACGATAGAACCCTGAACCTTCAGATTACAAGGTTAGGGCGTTGCCGTTTAGTAATTCTGACAGAAACCTGTAGCCTGTTGATTCTGATTTCCTTCAGTTCACGATGTAATTCCACAGTTTTTTATAGTCCTGTTTTTCATTTTTGTTACTTTGAATGAATATTGAGCTTTTAGTGTGATCGTCGTAATAATTCTAATCGTGATCAGTAATTCGGTGTTACTTTGAAGAGATTTGATTGGTCTCAAGTTTCTATGGAGTAAATAGTGAAGTCTACTAAGTCAGCTATGAGAACACATAATAACCTATAATATTGGCCGGCTGTGTAGTTAAAATTCACAAGTCGACATAAATTAGAATTGTTGTCAATGCGTGACTGGAGGTCCATTATGCAGTGGTAATGTCCCTAACCGCAGTACTCACTGAGTGACATGCGTTCGGATCTCAAAAGGGACATGAGTTCCTTCGAGATTGCAGATACACCTTACTGATGGCTGCCAATAAGCACGAATCCTAGGTTCAAGGCTTCCTTCCAGTTGTCTTCAGCCATCTAATAACAACAATTCTTAGTGTATCATGATGAAGAGCCACCTAGCTTGGTTTGGCCACATTGCAAACTTGGCCGATAGAATTCAGTCTGGTTCAAACAAAAGACTAAACGCATGACATTAGTTAGTGTTCAATCAAAGAAGTTAGAATTAATGATCAATGAGCTTGTCTGGCAACCTGAAGATCCTGGGTTCTATCTCCAGAGGGGTCACTGACACACACTGATGAAGGGTCATGAACTAGGACGAAACAGGTTTCTGTTACTGCTTGGCAGTTTCCAATCATTTTTTAACTATTATCAATTCATCAGCAGACTCTAAACCAATCTTATTTGGTTTTAATATATGTTTCGCCAAACTAGATGGGGGTGGGGTTACCATCTGAAAGTGGCAGTCAGCTAGAAATATATAGACCCTAGATAAGTAAATTTTAATGGGGAATCAGAGACAATCCAATTCCATTTCAATGTATACAGGCAAAATTTTGATCCATTATTGATTATTTTCCCACAGTGTCATTTCACTTAACAAAGAACCGTTCTCAATTTTATATTTTCCCATCGATTGATTGGACCAAAGTGCTCAGACTTAGGTTGACATATCGGCTTCAACGATGTCTAGCATGTAATTAGAAGTTAACTGGTGGACCGTGACTAGCAGTGGAATTCGGGACAACGCGCATTTCGTCCTATTTGGGACTCGTCATCTGGATGTACCTGCATTTCCCAGTGAGTGATGGTGTCCCCACCGAGGCTCGAAAGCAGCACCCATAGTTTCAAACGCCAAAGCGTTACGCACTAGACCACTTGAGCCACGAGAGCCACCACCTGTGCAACGGGTCATATGAATTATTCATTCAATTTTAGATTTTCCCGTCGATAGACACTGAGCTCGATCCTCAATGGGAACATCATCACTTACTGAGGAATTCAGGTGTATTCAGATGACGGGTCTCAAACAGGACGAAATACGCATTGTCCTGGATTCCACCGTTAGTCTACATCCCCCAAAGAACTGTTTTATTTAGTACTCTTTCTTATAAAATCAAGTCTTCAACAAACTTTCTCCTTTCTTTTTCAGATACTTCCAGGCAACTGTTCTCAAGTCTGTTCACGGTTTAATATCAGTTAGAAAGTTATTGGGAACTAGAAAGTACTGGAAAGCTAATGGGCTCTGGTTCGGACTCTTCAGCAGTATGCACCCACAGTATTTCGGACCCATGACTTTTATGATACAAGGCAAGCAGCTAGATTACCCTGTCACTGAGACCCTGTCCAGTAGCCTATTAATTCCACTTCCTACTAATTCGTGATTTTATCATGACCGGCACCAGCAAATGTCATCACCGAGTGTCTGTCCTCATGCCCGACCCCATGGACCCACAGGCTACAGCTTCTCATCAGAAGTCCAGGCAGCTGCATTCTGTAGCCAGCCACTAGAGAGCATCAGATCAATTTGTAAGAGTTTCATCGTTAGGATTAGATTTGATCCAAGCTTGATGTCGGAAAGAGGACTATCTGAAACCAAGGAGTACAATAAAGTTATTTCGTTCTGGTTTGGAACTCTTCATCAGTATGCACCGAATGATGTCCGAATCCATGACCTTCAAGTTGCTAGCTGAGAACGTTGACGACTTAGCTACTGGGACGCAATCGAGTGGCTATTAGGGGGCGCTTTAAGCTATTTTAAGGTGTATATTATATATATTTTCCCATCATTAAAATTGACCTTCACAAACTAACTCCTGATTGGATTATTTTTTTAGCGAATCAAATTAAACTATAAGTAAAACGAAATAATGATTAATAACGAAAATGTAATATGATTGGTTAATTGGACATTGTAAACGCTAGCGTGGATTGGTTGGTTCTGTCAACGTCAAGAAGTATAAATACGCGAAAAAAATTGATAAGACGATGAAACTAAAGTTAGCCTTTCTTTAGGATGCACGTGTCTACTTATCGGAATAATAGATAAAATCATGGATTTTTCTACTTGATGACTATTCTGTCAAAAATCAATAATACTGGAAATTTTTTTATTATGATATGTGAAATGTGAGAAAAACCTGAAAAATAAATATATATTCAGATTCATCTTTATTACATAATATTGTAAATTTGATTAAATACTAATCGTTATGAGTCGCATCAACGGGAATAGTAATAATAATAATAATAATCGTGCTTTCTCATTACCCCCAGAGAATATCAATTCAAAAGCACATTATATTCCAATAAAGGCAACGAATATCAATCCTCAACAGCAGAGTAGGACACCTGGCGGTGGAAATAATGAAAGGGATCGGCGGAATATTAAAGCCAGACAGTCGAATAATAATAATAACAACAAGAACTACTCATCCTTGGACTGGGATGAGAAACACGATCGTACAGACAGTGAAACAATGCTTCAAGAAACCCTAAATAATTTTGATAATATAACCCGACAATTTATGGGTCTATCACCAAGTTTAAGCAGTTTAAATAGCAATGAAGATAGTGGGTATGTTCGTACACCATTTGGAAATCGTAAGTTAGCAGATTCAGCAAATTCTGTTTTCAATTCTGGTCATACAGCATCAGAAGATTCCACCGGTGGAAGTTCTAGTAATAAAGATGAATTTATATTGGTTATGATTGAAGACTTGGTCGACTGGTTCACAAAAATGTATCCGAATATGGCATCTGGTTTAAATTCAGATAATTTCTTCGATCGTCTATCTGATGGTGTCCTTTTGTGTCATTATGCTACGGAGTTACATAATCGCCTAGCTGCAGAATCAGGTAATACACTTCGAAATAGTAGACCTATTAAGTTGGCCAATTTTCGTGTCGGTGGTGTTCAGGCTATCCTTCCACCTGCCAGTCCAGTCTATCAAACACGTGGATTGAACTCATCCAACGCTGCAGTCAGCTTTATTTCACGTGATAACGTCTCGAATTTTATACGTTGGTGTCGTCAACTGGGTATGCGTGATTCTACATTGTTTGAAAGTGAAGATTTAGTCTGCCGTAAGAATCCACGTAATGTTGTTGTCTGTCTTCTGGAGTTGGCTCGTCTTGGTGGACGCGTGGGCATGTCTATCCCAGAGATTGTTCAGCTAGAAGTGGAAATTGACGAACAACTGGCAAGAGAGAATTTATCTAATGAATCGTTCAATCGATTAGCAGAGGAATATTCATTATCGAATCGAAAAACCAATGGGGATGAGAAAAATAAATCGATAAATACTAGCCAACTAGACAGACATAACCGTGAAAATAATGTCGATTTAACTGCTGAGAATAATAATAATAATAACAATAATAACAGTAATGATAATAGTAGTAATGACAGTCAAACTTATTATTATCGATCGAATCGTTCTACTGAATTACGTCGACAACAACAACAACAACAGCAGAATAGACAACTGTCAAAGAGTAGAGTCAGTCAAGCGCAAAATCCAAGTCAAAAACAAACAAAAGACACTCAAGAGGATAAGAAACAGCGGCAGGAAATTCAACGTCCAGCTGTTGATTTTCGTTCTTTAGACGAATTGGTGAGTGAGTATTTTCTATCTGTAAAGAAAGTTATGATTTTTTATGTACTAAATATGTTAAAATTCCAACTTGCAGTGAATTAACTCGATAGTTCGCTTAGAGTACTAAGAATATTGATCCTTTTGGGCAGATTGGTTTCACATCCATGGGCGGGAACCTACACAAGAGTCTGTAGCTGTGTTTTTGCGTTCCATCTGGCTTTAGGCTTTCAAAGTTTTATTGAAGAGGGTAATAGCTGTGCCAGTCTCACGCCAGAACTTGTTTCTTTTGCTATCTTGTTACTGTCTAGTTAACTAGGCATGATTGGAGGGCCAGCTGTGTCGGCTGGGAATAGGACCTCGACCAACTATTTGGTTGGTAGGAATTCTACCAGAGGACCAGAGAGGCATAAGATTGAATAAAACCGTTGTATATTGTCTCTCTTATATCTTTATTTATGGAATGAAGTTGGCTTTAGAGTAAAATTTATGACTCCGAAAATAATCCTTCCACGGTGCTATAGTAAACTGATCCAGCAGTCTAGTGACTCGACAGTGTCACCACGGTATAAGACCAAAGTAATCGAGTAAGCTGGAACTTATACTCTAAAAGCTAACAGTAAACTACGAGTTATATATAGAACTGTAGGATCAATCAAGTGCCCTGAGCAATCTTGAGGAATTCTTTTGCAGTCGCCAATTCTTCTCTTTAATCTCATTATTATTATTCTCTTGGGCTCTGATTGTAACACATTTGGATTTTACTCTGTCCTCTAAAGTCTTTTTTATCTGGCTCCGCGACTGCCTATAAAGTTTTGTTTCCTCCCTACATGGTCTTCCCTACATCACAGTCGGACCCATGCCTAAATGATCGTTTCTTAGGCCTATTCCACCCAAGGGCTTGGTGCAGGATGCCACGCAACGTTTTTCTTGGTGTGGTGTATGTTCAGTTCATCCCTGTCTCCATCTGTGTACTAGTTGGATAGGAGGTAGGTTGTTGGTTGGCTAGCAATACCAGAGTTCCTATTTGCTTATCCTGTCTCGTCGGCTATCTCATCTTTGATACGGGGGGGGTGGGAAGGCAGTCGCTAGCAGAAGTCTGCTGTGTGCTTTTGCTAATACATCTTGGTGACGTTCATGCCAACTGACTGGACCATGTAGAATAACTGAATGACTTTACATTAGTGTTGTAAATCAGGATCTTATACCAAGTGTAGTAGATTCTTGAATAATGAAGGTTTCTCTAGCTTTTTCAATCTTGGCTGGTTTTAATGATCTCATCTGTCCCGTCTAAATAAGATTTATCTTTTTGGTGGTAGTCGGAGCTTGTTTTGTATTGTTAGTTAAGCGCCTCCATCACCTTCGTCTTCGATTGAAGTCCTGTATTCTCTGACAGCCTCCCCTACAAACTTGTTAGTTTTTGCCTATAGATCTTCTGTTTTTGTGTGTGATATTTGACATAAATCATCTACGAATGACATTTCAAGCGTGAGTTATATACTCCTCAATAAAGATTCAGAGGCAATTAATTGACTTATCTAGGATAGATAAACTATAAAATACGATCAAGAGTCGAACACTGTGATCTCTTTTTTATTTCAAGTTTGAGCATGTTTTAACTCCATTATGAGTAAGATTTTTATTTTGATAAATCACACGGTGCTATACAGTAATGTTAACTGATGACGTTTCGAGCACAATTTATCATTGCTCATAATCATATCAAGGCACTCACTCACACAACTTTCTTGATTCATATATATAATTGAGTACAAATTGATGATTACACATTTGAATACAAAATCAATCTAAGGTAAAGTATAAAGTATCAATAAAATATAATAAGATGGGAAATAAGACATTTTTCACAGTAAAAAAAAGTAATTTGTTAGAATGTCATAATGTTTATGAATTGAAATACATTTTAACATTATTTATTATCCTCCTGTGATTTGACTGGTGGTAATAATATCTTCCATACATAACTCTGGCATTTGCGTTGAGTCATTTCTGTTGTATGTGTTGAGTGGGTAGTTTCAATGAACCACACAGGATTCAGTAATCAACCTCTCCCTCTCTCCACCTACTTATATTGCTTTTAAGAAATTAGACTCTGTCCCATCCACCGTATTGTGTGGTTGTGTGTTAATGCATGCAGTGTAGTGTAGTGCTGAGCTTTTTTCTAAATTACTTATCTTCGCCGGTGGGGTCAACCATACTAACCTTAGGTAAATTCTTATGTTCCGACAATCTGACTACTCCTGATCTACCGGTTTGATCTATTTAGTTGACCTCAATCATACTCATTGCGAGGTATTTTGTAAATTACATTATTTTCTCTAATCGAATCAAGCTACAGGGTCCTTTAACCTACAGAGCTTGTGAGTTTACTTCTATTTAGGGTCTTAGATGCCCCCTCCTTATATATGATAAAACTACTGTAGATGCCTTATATTCTCGTTTATTTATGTTATCATTATTAGTTTCATCACTATTTTTATTTTGCTTTTGACCTTTTCTGATATTCCTAATGAATTGTATAGGATAGTTAGTTATTTAACACCAAGCCTCCTTCTCCTATCTGTTTCATTTTATCGTTTGGGTATTTTGTTGTACTATTTAGTGCTATTGCTCGCTATGTTAGACACACTTAACTAAGCCTGCCTCCACAGACAGATAACGAACGGATGAGATGAATTAAAGTGGTCTAAATATCTATGTTTTTATTTAATGATTTGTTAAAGGAGACTAACACAACGGTTTCTTGTTACATGTCAGCTGGTAGACAATTAGATAGTTCTGAAGTGTTCGTTTATAGGCTGTTGATTGGTTGCAGGTTTGATCATGAGCTTAGATCAATAGAAGGCCATGGGAAACCACTAGGAAATAGTAGACAGTTTTTTCATTCTAGTCTGGGACTTTTCAGCTGTACGGCCAGTGGTTGCACTTTTTATAGAGCGAATTTGCAGAAGCCAGAATTCATAAGCTGTTGAGTCAGGTCGCAGCAGCTGAATGACCTGTCCTCGAGTTCACCTTTCAACCTCAAGGCGCTGGGTTCGAACACCAGTGGGTGCGTGTTTCATGAAGGTTCCCAAACTAGGATAAAACAGCTGTCCAGTACTCTCGAGTTTTCTAATGATTCCCTAACTGACGTCAGCTTGTAGTTATTTCCTGTAACCTATATGTCATCTTAAATATAAGTAAACCAATTAGTTACTTACTTTGTGATATTTTCAAGACGTTTAAAAATACCGCCGTTATTACGAACTGGAAAGTCTCATATTAGATGACTTTGTCCGCCATTACACATAGTCACAGATACAGGCTTGATAACTGGATGAAGTTTTATTACTCAACATTATAACACTGAATAGTTTCAACAGCAGCATAGCTGTTTTCTTTTACCTGGGGGGAGGGATCGTTAGCTTTTCCCCACCGTGCCAACCTTCCCACTTCTGCGAGGTTACCATCGGCTAGTGAACCACTCAAAATTTAAGAGTAAGTCAGTCAGAAGTCAAAAACTCACCTGTTCTGTGGCTGTTTCGGCATCATTCTATCACTGGACAGTTAACGCACACCAGCGTATCTAATGTAATTAAAACTCAGCAGAGGACTATTTAAATTGGTATTGAAAATCTGCGAGTATCCTGTAGCGTTGAATAATGATAGAGTGTGAAATTCTTAGAAATTGGTACCACAGTGCTGCATATAATTTACTCGATAACAACAAAAATGAAAACTTTCAAGAATTGGTTTTGTAGGAATTTTTGTTTGACCGCATGGAGAATTTCATCATAAGCTGATATCAGTTAGAGAACCATTGGAAAACCTAGGAGTACTGGAAAACTGTTTCGTCAGCCTGGTTTGGGAATCTTCGTCAGCACGCACCCACCGGGGTTCATGATGGAATCCTCCTTGCATTAAACGAAATCTCTACAAAACCAATACTTGAAAATTAATCTCATGATCACTAGCGACTGTTCCTATTCAGCCAGTGACTTGAGGTTCTAGTAGGAAGCTGTGACCAGTGGGGTACAGCAGGTTGAAGATGAGGCACTAACTCATCGAAGAAGTCATTGTGAAATGCTCGCACTATGTCATGAATTGGCAGAAGTTAGAATTCAAGGACCATGGGATTGGGTCCCAGTGGCTCAACGGTCTACGAGCTAGCTCGCCTTGTAACCAGAAGGTCCTGGGTTCGAACCTTGGTGGGTGCGTACTGATGAAGAGTCCCGAACTAGGACGAAACTTACTGTCCAGTACTCCTAGGCTTTCCGATGGTTCTCTAACTGATATCAGCTCATGATGAAGTCCTCCATGCAAAGCGAAAATATAAAAAAATAATATTATAGGATTGATAATGGCAGTGTTTTTGGTATTTGCAGTGGCAATAAGGTCAGAAATGTACAAAAAGTTTAAAATAATAATAATGCTAGTGTTAATAGCTTTAATTAGAATTTTACTTTAATAATGAGTGTCACCATAAAATCACAAACATGGGAGAATAACTGGGCCATTTTTTTATGCTAATTGGACAATAAGTCGTAGGTTTCACGCTTAACATTATCTCGATCACACAGGACACCGACGGGCGGACCAAATATGGTATTGCTGAGTTTCTATACTTGGTTGTTCAAGCATATAATCTTTGTTATACTGACTTCCAGTCCTCCTACCTGATGAGATACAAAACGGGGAGCGTTGAGAACAGAGAGGGTATTCAGAGTCAAACAGTTTGGATTTAGACCATTTCTCACATGAGTTCGAAACCACCGACCTAATGCGTCGGTGGTATAGCGGTCAAGACGCTCGCCGACCATGCACATGGTTCGGGGTTCGATCCCCGGCCGACACACACCTTTACCTCTCTAAGCCAGAAATAATTCTGGTAAAGAGGAAAGGTTGATCATGAGGCTAGCAACCCCATCCTGTAAAATAAACTCTGCTACAGAAACTTCAGGCTACTAGCTTGAAGCCCTATGTTCCACTGGGGAACGTGAAGGAAAAATTATTATTATTTA